TTTTTTTTTTTAATTATAAGAAGTTGTTTACAGACAAAATTAATTTTTCAGTATATACATACACACAATTTTCAAGTGACAGAAACAAAGCAAGAGCATTTACATAATGTGCCTATTTTAAGGATATAAGATTATTCTGTTTTTCCCAACTTTTCTTCATTTTCTTCTAAAATTCTTAAGATACAGGTAGCTAATATGTTTTTTTACAATGCAGTAGGGAAGTCACAAAGCAGAATTTGTGTTCCTTCATGCCTCTAGTCTTCTAATATTGGAATATAAAGAGGATGTGTGGAACTGAGAATGGACGTGGGCATTAATTGATAAAGGAAACAAGCCCTGCTTCACTTCCACCTTAATTTCCCTTGGACTTAATGTTGTTTCTTAACTAACATTCTCAATTCTCTGCTCTTGACAAAGAACAATATACAATCTCTAGTTGCATTTTATAATATAGTTCAGGAGCTCTGTAGATGCAAAAGCCATTTTGCTTCGTGGAAGTACTTTCGATATTGTTCTTTTCCAAAAATTGTCTATAACTGACCATATGCTTTATGTTTGCTTGTTCTCCAATCTGAAATGACTTATCAAATTATGATCTAACAGATGATTATTGGCTTAAATCATTATTTCACACAAAATTAATTCTAAGTAGGTTTTTTGGTTATTTGCTTTTTACTCAGGCTTACCAGTTTTTGCCCTCTGTTTATTTGTATGGTATTTTATCATTATTCTTCTGTGTGTATTCCCTGTCTTTAGAACTTGGAAACAGAATTTATACTCAATAAATACATGTGGAATGAAATTTCTTCTCTGTATATCAGATAATGCAACTGGTAGATATGTGGAGATAAACAGAAAAGCTTTGTTGGATATGTTTGAGAAATTAGGGTATTTGAACAGTAAGAAGGGGAATAAAACTGCAATATTTTGAAAGCAGTGAGTATAGAGTCATCTGCCAGAATGCTTATAATTGCTACCCACAGTTTCAGAGTGTTTTCAAGACCTGTTCAGATTCTTTTCTTCTTTTCTCTTCTTGATACTGGGAATTGAATCAAGGGCTGCTTTACCCCTGAGCTATATCCCCAGTGCTTTCCAAGACTAACCTGCCTCAGCCTCCTGAATCACTGGGATTACAGGCATGCTCCATTATGTCCAACGTCTTCAAATATATTTCTGTACATTACATAAGCAAAGCTTTTTTTGACCTTTGTAATAGTAAGAAACTCCTCTAATGTTTTGAGGGCCAAAAAAATTAATTTTTATTTATAAGTGACTTTCTTTCTTTATATTGCAAGACGATATTTTAGATTTTTACTTTGAAGCATGACTCCTCTCTAAGATTAGCATTATGGACTTAAATGTTAACTCTGCTTAAGAAAATTTTTTTTATTATAAGAAGTTGTGTGACCTTAAAAGGAGTACATAATTCTGAAACCTTTAAATGTCTTAGCTAACACTTGGATATTACTCAGTCTGTATCTTTTTTTCTTTTATCAGGGTGTTCGAGATCTCTTAAAAGTGATTTTGGAGAAAATCTTGACAATTCCTAATACAGTGAGCTCTGCTGTTGTACAGCAGCTGCTAGCAGCAAGAGAGGTAATTTAGACATGTTGAAATTCATTGATCATATCCTCAAAAAAAGCCTAAAAAAGTTTT